AAGAAAAGATTGATAAATTTGTGTATATTAAAATTAAGAATTTCTATCTTTCAGAGAAAGAGTACAATAAAAAAAGCGAAAAGCTGATCTTTGAAAGAAGAGAAAATATTTGTAAGGAATATAACCAATATATAAAAAGACCTATACAGTTAAAAAGAAAAACAACTAAATAGGAAAATGGGTAAATGACATGAACTCGTATTTCTTAGAAGAGGAAACAAGGATGGACAAACATTTGAGAAAGTCCCAGCCTCATTAGCAACCAGGAAAATGCAAACTAAAACCACAAAGAAGTGCTATTTTCCATCTACTAAAACGGCAAAAAGTAAGTCTGAAATACCAAGTATTGGCAAGAATATGGAAAACACATACTTTCTATACTGCTGGTGGGAATGTAAATTAGTAAGAACTCTTTGCAAAACAATTTGGAATTGTCTTTTAAAATAAATGTTGACATGACCTGCAATCCATCAATTCCACTCCTCGTTGTACCCCCTCAGAGAAACTGTTGCACCTGTGCAGCGTGATAGAAATAAAAAAGCGCTCATAGCAGCACTGTCTATAGTAAGACAAACTGGAAACATCCCAAGTGCCTGTCCTCAGGAGAATGGAATCAGGCCATGTTCACACAACGGAATATTATGCAACAAGGTGGTTGATAATAATAAAATAATAATTCTCAAAAAAATAATAGTGAGTGAAAAACCAAGTTCTAGAAGATGATATACATATATTGTGAATTTATTTCTATAAAACACACAAAACTAAATCATCTATAGTTTAGAAGAATATATTTATAAATACATGATGAAAGTCTTCATACAAAACAAAGGAATGATAAACACAAAATTCAAGATAGTGTTTATCTCTGTGAGATCGATAATGGGCTATGATAGCAGAGAACATTGGTAGATGCAATGATCCTGGAAAAATTCTGATCTAATCTAGTGGAAAGTTTAAAGCAGTTTATTTTATTACTATGTTTCTATGTGTCAAATATGAAACAATAGTAAAATTTAAAGGTCACACCTTACACCAAGAAAAAAAGACATATAGAATAATAACATTCAGATACCTCTGATTATATTTTTTTAATTTTAAAAATGAGGAAAGATATTATTCAGCACTAAAAACAAATGAGCTATCAAATCATGAAAAGACATGGAAGAAACTTAAATGCATATTGCTAAGTGAAAGAAGCCAATCTGAAAAGGATATATACTGTATGATTCCAACTATACGACATTCTGGAAAAGGCAAAACTATGAGACAGTAAAAATATTAGTGGTTGCCAGGAGCTAGAGGGGAGAGAGGGGTGAATAGGCAGAACGTAGAGGCTTTCCTGGGTAGTCAAACTATTTTATAACTATATATAGTTATAACTATATATATTTTTTGAAGTTATAATGGTAGATACATATCGTTATACATTTGTCCAAACTTGTAGAATTTACAACACCAGGAATGAACCCTAATGTACACTATGGACTTTGGGTGATAACGGTGTGTCAGTGTAGGTTCACTGATAGTAACAAATGTTCCACTCTAGCGGGGAATGTTGATAGTGGGGGAGGCTATGCCTGGGGGTGGGAGGGGCATAGGGGAACTCTGTACTTTCTGCTCAGTTTTTCTGTTAACCTAAAACTGCTCTGAAAAATAAAGTCTATTAAAAAGAAAAAATATGAAGAAAAATTTCTGAAGGAACAAAAGGGGGCAAATATCAAGTTGTCCTTGGATATCTCACAGCAGAATTCAACATCAGAGACAGTGTAGCAATAGCCACACCATTCTTTGAGAAACAAAAATTTGGCCTAGTCAAGTTGCCACTCAAGTTTGAAAACAAAAGACATTCTCAAATATGAAAGAAGTCTGAAAACATAGCACCCAGGAGCCCTTCTTGGGGAAAAAAAATTCTACTTGATGCCAAAACTCTAGCCAAGTGGAGCTGAAGGAAAGAATTCAGCTACTAGGAATTCATTGTTAAGAGCACTGGATCCATCTTAATATAGAGGTAAAAATAAGAACTGGGAGGACTATGTTCACAACATAGAAAGCAACAGTTATAAACTGTGATTTAAAAAAAACCCTGAAAATGAAAAAAAAAAACAAACAGTAGGTATGAGGGGGAGGATAGCAGCATGGCTATTCTGCCTGTTTCATAGCAAGTGATTCTGTCAGCAGCACAACTAGCTACACACACCCCAACATCTTACTGGTCTTCGTGGGGCAATTTCTTACTTAAAAGGACCTTTTAGAAATCAATACCTTAAGGAGGGAAGAAAGATTTTTGTAAGAATTAACTATTCTTTCTGTTGCACTTTATTTTTTTCTATTCTGTTAAATCAAGGAACATTAGTCACTTCTCATTTGTAAAACACCATGTATAGCATTATCCCATCTTATCAACCTATTTCTTTCCCTCTCTTTCTAAAGAACTTCTATGATTTCTTTTATCTATGTCATGTTCGCCCAGTAACACTGGTTATTTCTGGTATTGATATTCGAGGTAATTTGTTCCTTTCTTTTTTATAACCTTTCTGTATTTGAATTATTTATATGTGTTTCTTTTTTTAATATAACAATGAGGTAATTACGCAATTATAATTTATTTTTGTTAAGTGGAGGATTAAGACATTTGAGGATTTTTCACCACAGTGGATCAATTTAGTGTTGTAGTAATGTAAGACTGCAATATCCTTGAAAGAAAGAATTGTGTCTGCATTATATTTATGTCCCTCACGACAGCACGCACTGAGAAAATCCTCAGTAAATATTTCTTAACTAAAATTGTACATTATTTTTTCTATTTTTCCTTAAGACTTAAGAATAGCCAAAGAGAAAATATCCCAAGAAATCACCATTTAAGTAGTCCTCTGCAGAGATTCCCATTAAATTTCATTTGCTGTGTCTCCTCAAAGCATGACTTCAGTTTACCTGCTGGTTAACACTAAACCCTGGATAATCACCTTTTGGATCTACACTCAAACAATTCTTTCATTTATTTGCTCATTAATTCATTCAACAAATATTTATTAAGCACCTACTATATGTAAGGATCTTCCTGTGTTGTGCATATAGCAATGAGCAAAAGAATATCCCTATCCTCAACAAGCTTACATTTTAGTAAGAGAACACAGACAAGAAGTAAAGAAACAAATATATAACTTCTTATATGGTGATATGCTATGGAAAAATAAAGTAGATAAGAAGAGGAAAATGACAAGGTAGCAGACAGGGAGGGTCACAGAAGGCCTCTCTGGTAAGATAAAATTTGACCAGAGACATGAGTGACCTGAGGGAATGAGGTATGTGGATCTTGGTGAGGATCCTCCCAGGCAAAGGTTGGTCAAGTGCAGAGTACAAGGGTTGATCAGAGATTTTGGCCTGAGTGACAGAATGAATGGAGGTACCATTTAGTGATGATGAAGACAGGTTTGGCAGGATGGCTGAGACAGGAGTGTAGGAGAAATTAAGAGTTTGGTTTTAGATGTGTTTAGTTTGAGATGCCTTTTAGGCATCCAAACTGAAGGGTTGAGTAAACAGCTGGGTAGATGTGTCTGGAAGCCAAAGTACATGTTGAGTTATATGGTACTGCAGGTCAGAGCACACGCATAATTAAATTAAAAATATATATAAAGCCAAATATATAGCTACTTTAACGTAACACAGGTTAAAATAATAATAAGCATCCCCCAAACAAATAATCCACTGATTTTGAAATATAAAATAAATTGCAAGAACAGTTTTCTTTCTAAGCTATCTACTCTTTCAATTTGTGTGTAAGAAGAAACACTTCTGGTGCAGAGCTACAGTGTGGGTGTCTTTCTGCTGGTCACTTGAAACAGCGAGGCAAGGGCTTGTCAAATAAGCCTGTGCTGAATGGAGGTGAGATCCTCTGCCTCATCCTGGCTGCGCACAGTGTTCGGCTGCACCCAGTGTTTTTCAGGCATAAAAGCCATGCAGGTTGAAGAGTCTCTGCCTCATTGGAGCCAGTGCTTTGACAAGCAGATTTGCTCCTGCAGTAGGTTTTCAATAGAGCCAGCATAACAAAGAGGAAATTCTGCCAATTAGTGAATGATGGTGGGCTGCAGGGCAAGCCATGCCAAGATTCGGTGGCAATTTCACCTAGAGACCAGAACATTCCAGTCCCCCTTCCCTTTTGCCTCTTATTCCTCAGAGGCCAATATTTCACGTAGATGTTAGTCCCACATAGCTCTCCCACAGCCTCAGCAAGGCCTTCCTCCTTCCCTCTGTGCCTAGGGTTTAGCTAACACTGGGGTTGGAGGATCAATGGATTTCACTTAGGCTCAGCATTGTGGTACCTGGTCCAAACCTGCCCAAAACAGCAACCCAAACTTGAGAACTTATGGACACCCAAGCAACATGACACACTTAATTCAGAATATGGGATATTCTAATTCTTCCTGTGTAGAAAATGAGCCTCATTTCCACATGCCTCATAAAGATGCAGGCATGCACAAAATTTTTATCACAAGGATGTCTAACTATGGAAGATAAATGTTAAGTAGGCATTATTTGTTTGGAGTCAAGAAGCCATACATTATGTCCACCATGCAGAATTTATAAGTAAAACAATCTAAACAGGTTTCCACGACCCTTGGTGATCTCACAGTTGACTCAAACTCCAACACCCCCATTCCACAACCAGTGACAGTCCAATGTCTTCCACCATGACTTCAGTTAGTCCTAAAATCTTAAACTCTTCATGGTCCCCTCTACCCCTGGTATCTGCAGCCACTTGCAGTGTCTCTCTTTTCCCCCATATCCACTCATTCGCCAAACTGAAACCTTTCACTCGTTTTCACACAAAAAAGATTCACTGCCACAAAGCATCTGGTGGGTTTAGTAGCTTTCCTAGAGATTTGAAAGGGAGCAGGGAGGGGCCCATTGTGTACTACATGGCCTGTTCATCTTTTTACAAAGTGAAGGCTTGCTGCCTGATGCACATAGAAACCAATACTACAGCACTAGCTTTTGAGAGATGAAAGAGCTTTATTGCATGGTGGACCTGCAAAGAGACAGGAGGCAAGGCTCAAGTCTATCTCCCCAAGCTGAGCAGGGACAGACTTTTAAGGAGTTGGGAGTGGGAGTGGTTATACAAATGTTAACTTGGTGGAATCTGATTGGGGGATGAGAGTGTAACAGTCTTATAAGTCTGATGTGCTACAAAGCAAGGGGCCCCTCGTTTCTTATTAGATTCCCTGTTCTGCTTTCTCTTTACATTGAGTTCTGTAGTTTGGGAATTTTTGGTTCTTAGACAGCTCGAGGTCATCTGAGAAGAAGGTTTCCATCTTCTGAGCATGCTCCTGCTATATGTCTTGTAGCTATTGCTGGTTGCCCCTGCAAAACAGTTTTTGATGCAAAGTTGTTATTGATACAATACGGTACAATAAGGCTAGTACCAATTGGCCTATGATGGTTACAATCTTACCAGCTTTATCCCTTCTCTTTTCCCCTCTTTCACGCTCAAGGCCAAACACATTCTTTATTGTGTTCATAGGAATCTCTGGTTCTAACAGAAAGTGTGGCCTTCCTGGACAGTCAGCACTCCCATTTACTCAGTAAGAAGCATAACATGCTTACTTTGTACTTCCTTGGAGTCTCATTGAACTCCCACACATCATGGGTCCTTCAAAATGCTATGCTCATGGGTATTACAATGATCATATGCAAACAGAGCCCCAAGGAACACAGACACACATATTGCACCTATCTCCTCTGCTCACACACGCTTCCTTGTCCCATGGGACTTTACTCACAAAGCACAAGTTCAAAGACAACAAGTTATTAAGAATTTCAAGATGACAACAGCAGTGCATTAAACCAAGTGTGTGAAATGCTTCTGAGTGTGGTGCCCTGTTTCACTGCACAGATTGCCTGCCCGTGAAGCACGCCCTGGAAGTGGATCTTCCTGTCCAAGTCAAGCCTTCAAATTTCTGCAGCCCTGGATCATGTCTAACCGAACCTTATGAGACACCACACCAGACACAGCCGAGCCTCTCCCAAATATCTGACCCACAGGAACTGTGAGAGATGATAAATATTTGTTATGTAGGAACAAATAACTGATACATGAACCTCAGTAAAATGCAGACTCATAGATTCTAATTCAGGATCAGTTCATAGCCCAGGAATATGCATTTAACAATAATCCCAACCATCAGGGAAGTGCAAATCAAAACCACAATGAGATACTACTTCATACCCACTAGGCGAGCTCTATTCAAAAAGATAGATAATAACAAGTGTTGGCAAGCATGGGAGGAATTAAAATCTTCACACACTGCTGTGGGAATGTAAAATGGTGCAGCCACTTTGGAAACAGTCTGGAACTCCCCTAAAGGTTAAACAGAGAGTTGCCAGATAAGCCAGCAATTGCCTCCTTAGATATGTACCCAAGAGAATTGAAAACATCTGTCTGCAAAGCATCTGGTACGAAAATGTTTTCAGCAGCATTATTCATGGTGCCCCAAAGTGAAAACAATCCAAATGTCTGCCAACTGATAAATGGATGAATAAAATATGGTGTATCCATACAGTGGAATATTATTCAGTAATAAAAAGAAATGCAGTACTGGTAGATGCTACAATATAGACAAACCTTCAAAACACTGTGCTAAGTGAAAGAACTCGGTCACAAAAATCATATTTTGGGATTCCATTTATATAAAGATGTCCCAGATAAGCAAACCCATAGAGACAGGAAGTAGACAGTTGTTGCCTGGAGCTGTGGAGATTGGAGAGAAATAGAGAGTACCTCCTAGTGGGTAGGGGGTTTCTTTCGGGGATGATGAAAATGTTCTAAAACTGATTGTGTTGATGGTTGTGTAACTCTGTAAATATGCTAAGAGCCACTGAAATGTACACTTTGAATAGGTGAAATGTGTGCTATGTGAATTGTTTCTCAACATAGCTGTTATAAAAAATAATAATCCCCAGATGATGATAATGCCAGCCATCCAATCTGAGAAATGCTACTCTAGGCTTTTAAAGTTGATATTCATTTAAAATAAAAAGGATAACTGTAATAATTCTAACTTCTTTTCTTTTTTTTTTTTTTAAGATTGGCACCTGGGCTAAAACTGTTGCCAATCTTCTTTTTTTCTTTTTTTTTTTAAGGATTGGCACCTGGGCTAACAACTGTTGCCAATTTTTTTTTGTGTGTGTGCTTTATCTCCCCAAACCCCGCCTGTACACAGTTGTTGTACATCTTAGTTGCTAGTCCTTCTAGTTGTGGCATGTGGGATGCTGCCTCAACGTGGCCTGACAAGCGGTGCCATGTCCACGCCCAGGATCCGAACCCTGGGCTGCCACAGCGGAGCGTGCGAACTTAACCACTCGGCCACGGAGCCAGCCCCTCATTTTCTTATTATGTTCACCACTTACACTTTTCTAAAGAGAATACACCATGAGACAAGTGAGGAAAAGCTTGGGACAAGACTGATCTTTAACTTTAGTCTGAAATGACTTTTAAACCATAAAGCTTTCTTAGTGAGGAACAAAAATAATGACGGTAGCAGGAAGGATTGAAATGAACTCTTGAGAAGAGAATGAGTGTGCTGGTAAGAGAAAAAAACATTAAAAGTTCCTCTTCAGAGGCTGTAAAGTGGAGCCTTACTTTCTCCCCGAAGTGGCTTTTTTTTGCTTGTTCTTAAGATGCCTTGTCTAGGCCTGGCCACCATAAGTGTCATTCATTTTGTTTTTCCTCTGAGATTAGTCTCTTCTCTTAGCTGGGACAGGTTGATAAGAAACAGGATGCACCTTATAATTTCAGTGAAAGCAGTTTTTATTCTGATTTCGTGTCTGTCGATGCCTAGCATTTCACCTTTTCTCCGTAGAGCTCACAGAGTGATTATTTAATTGCTCGTGTTCTATTTCCACCTGCAGGGTCTGAGCTCCACTGAAGGCAGGGCTGAACCTGCAGGGAGGGAGAAAGAGAACTTCCCTCCTGGGCAGAAAAACTCCCCTCTTGAGGCGCGCAGAATCCTCCCGTTCTCTTACAAAACGGGGAAGATCAAAATCTTGCTTCTTCTCCAGCCTCTATTCCTTAACCATAAGATCTACACTCTGGAGAAAAATTGTGGTCTTTTAAAAAAAATTTCTCATATAACTCATAAATTAAGACCGGAATCATTTGTTGGGACTTCAGAAATTCCTTTTTAAACATCGAAGGTGACCAATATCACTTGCAAAACTATAAAGTAGAGTTGTAAATAGGGAAAAAAGCAGATTCTCATGATTGCACTAGTTATACCAAGGATTTATTTCAGATTTTCTGAGTTTATAATATGTGCTACTGTATTCGTAATAAAAATTTTTAAAAATTTTTCATTTAGGAAAAACAGCTTAATTTCAACCCTGAGCAACTCCCAGGAAGGGATTGTGTGTTATTTATGTTAGCACTGAGCCGAGTGTGGCACATGGCCTGGAACATGGCTGATGTTCAGTAAATGTAGGAGTTTACAGAATTACTTTGAGAGCTTCCATATGCCCCCTGGGTTTCCTCCATCCTAAATCACAAGTCTCCAAGTGGCTTCAATCATTGCCTTGTGTGGCCTTGTCTGTAACATAACCCCCTCCACGGCAAGACGCTTTATAACAGGGCCTCACTGCATTTCACTGAGTGCTTGTGTACCATGAATTGCAAGGTAGTAAGATCATTTTCAGGAGTGGCTAGAATGTACGAATTTTTCAAACTGTCTTACTGGAAGAGGGCCATCTCCATCCCCAAAGAGCTCTGTTATACCGGTTCCATTTAGCAGTAGTGTCATTAATTTGAGGAAAATTCTCGGGTCCTTCCTGTTCTTCTCCAGGAAGCTGGCTCTAGAGCTTATGAGAGAATCTAGTGGATGGAGGAAGGGATATAGAGTGAAGCTACAGGAAGGAAAGAGCACAAAAATCCCAGGAGCATGTTCTGTGAATTGGTAGCTTCTGCCAAGAGCATGGCAGAGGGCTGTGGGGCTCCATACAGCTGACATTATGGACCCCCAATGAATCCATTAACTTCAGGTGCCTATGAGCTTTCAGGAGAAACTTTCTTCTTAAAGACATTTTACTCCTCATGAGGAGGATTCAGTTTGTTCTAGTTGAGAAACATGCAAAAGGCAGTGAAGAGCAAGTGATGGTCAGAGGCTGAAATAGAATCTGTTGGCTGCCACCTTTTCTCTTGGCATCAGTTTATAATGTGACTCTCACGGATCCTCATCAAATGGAAGAGGCCTGGAGAATGGCCAATTTTGTGGGGGACACCTAAATCTCCAGTAATGGAAAAATATACTACCTCTTTCTTAGGAGAATCAAATAGATTGCATTGGAATTTTTTTTTTTAAAGATTTTATTTTTTTTTTCCCCAAAGCCCCCCGGTACATAGTTGCATATTTTTCATTGTGGGTCCTTCTAGTTGTGGCATGTGGGACGCTGCCTCAGCGTGGTTTGATGAGCAGTGCCATGTCCGCGCCCAGGATTCGAACCAATGAAACACTGGGCCACCTGCAGCGGAGCGCGCGAACATAACCACTCGGCCACAGGCCCAACCCCTGCATTGGAATTTTTGAAGTCATTTCCCTTTCTCAGGAAAACATGCTGCAATTTTATCACTTAATTCTAGAGAAATTCTATTTAAATATACAGGAAGAAATCAGCAGAGTTTGATAGAAAAAGATCAGCTTTGATTTTAAAAGCATATCGAAGCAAGGAAGAACAGTAACAAAGCATGTTTTTATTACCATGAGAACATAGATTCTTAAAGGCAAAAGGTAGTGTAGTCTTTGCGCAGATTTCCACGTGATGTTTTGTACTGCATGAGGCTGGCTTCAGTGGGTTCTTGTTTCTCTTCTCAGAAGCCCTTGGTTTCCAGTCTTTCACCCAGAGACTGAAATTATCTACCTGATGCTGAATGAGGGAGCAATTCTTAGCAAAGAGAATGGGAGCTTTTAAGACACAGAATGAGCCCCGAGGGACCAAACTCCTTCCTTCCCTGCTGCTCAGCCTCCTCATCTACGGGCTGAAAGAATCCCGCAGAATCTTTGGGTTCCCTTTACATTCTAACTCTGATGATGTGATGGTACTATACCTATTAGCTTAACTTTCCCAGTTTACCTTTAATTAACTTGCATTTTATTCATTCATTGGAGCACATTGTGAAAAAACATGGGCTTTGAGGTCAAAACCTGTGTTTAAATCCCCATCCAGCACCTTCCTAGCTGTGTGACCACTGAGAAGTTATTTAACCTTTCTGAGATTCAAATTGCCTCTCCTGCAAAATAGTGATACTAAAGTTGTGGTGATGGTTGGATGAAATAAGCTAGATACTCGTGTTGTGGACTGAATTGTGTCCCTAT